GGTTTCCGGGTGGAGAGGTCCGACTGCTGCCATGGATGAGGAAACACTGTACGTGGTGGATGAGTCTAAGGGTGTGTTGAGCAAGTATGATCCTCATAATGACCGATGGGATCAGATTTTGGAGGACCAGAGCCTCAGAGGTGCCGACCAGATCGCCGCCGCTGCTGGCAGAGTGTGTGTTGTTTGTGGTGGTGGAATTGTAGTGGTCGATGTCGTGTCGTCACCACCTAGATTGTGGGAGCTGGATCCACCCACTGGGTTTCAACCAGTCGCGGTTCATATCATGCCCAGGATGAGCCTGCCGAACCAGATTTCAAACAAAACCTACTAGCGTTCAACACTTTCTTTAGTTGTTCTTTTATTTTATTTTTTTCATTTCTACAGTATATTTTATTTTTAATTTGTAGGGATTTACGGGTTTACTTCACTTGTACATGTGAATAGTTTTCTTCCAACCCATTGTGAAGGAGTTTTTACATCGACAATTTGTTATTGATTACTTGTTAGCCAAACCAAAATATATTTAATTTGAACGTCTTTTTTTTCTGTCTATCTCAAATGTCAACGTTAGAAAACGAGGAAGAGCCATATGAGTAATTATTCAGTAATTTCAGAATATAGATATGTGTTATTTTATAATATTGTGATTAGTGAAAAAAAATGGATACGTAGAGTATTATATTGGATGATTGTGAGACATGAGTGAGTATGTAGGATATTGTGTGGGAAGATATGGGAGGCATAATGAATAATGATTTGTTAGGAATACGAATTCCCAAGCCATATCAATAGGAATCACTACAGGAAATCATGGATTTAGCGACGTTTAATTACCGACGTTTATTTAAACGTCACCTTTTCTGATAATTAACGACGTTTTGTAAACGTCGCCTTTTGTGTTAATTAAAACGGTCCCGTTTCTAAATAGAGGTCGTTTGAAAGCGCCTCCAAACCCACTCCCTGTCTCTCTTCAAACCCCTATTTCCAAACCCTACACAAAGTTGATCTCTTCTCACAACTCCAAGGTAACTCTCTCTCTCTCTCTCTCACTCTCTCTCTCTCTCTCTCTCTCTAAACCCTAATTTCAGTCTCAGAGGATCGAATCAATACGAAGTTCTCTCGTTCGATTCCTCTTTAGCATGGTGATTCCTCTTAGTGATTCATCTCAGAGTGATTGCGATTTTGATTTTGAAGTTCTCTCTCTCTCTCGATTATGAGCACCACCTTCTACAATCTTAGAAAAATAGATCGAATCCTTCAAAACCTTCTTTAGCTCGGTGATTCCAGTTGTGGTGTTCGTCTTTGTGGATTTGGAACTCTTCGTCTTCTTCGATCAGTGAGATCAGAGGTTAGTTGAGCTCAAATTTTAGGAACATTTGAAACTTGTTTCTTTCTTAGATGTTTCTTCTGTGCTCTGTTTTGAATAGCTGTTTGTGAATCTCTTTTTGCTCATCTTCTTCCCATTGGTTTGTGAAGATTTAGTGGGTATATTATTAATTTTTCTTCTGTGCTCTGCTTGTGAATAGCTGTTTGTTATTTTGCTTAAATTGTGTGGATTTCATACCAAAGTGTTGTTTCGTGGGTGCAATGATAGACTAGTTAGACTTGTAGTGATATTCATTAATAATGAAATTTGTAAATCTAAATATAGTTTTTTACTCATTGATAGACTATTGAGCTGCTTCCAAGTGGTGAGAATGAGAGAAATTAACGACCTACTTTGCTTTTTGTCTCATTCTTCTTCTGTTGGTTAGTTCTTAGTCAAGAGAAAATAATAATAATAATGAAGATAGTATATATAGTCCAGCTGGCCAAGGAATAATAAGGGTTACTAGTCTACTGGTTACCAAATGCCAAATAACTTAATTTAATTTGGGTTCTCGCCTACATATACAGAGAATGCTTATATACAGAGAATGTTTGGGTTTTGATTGTTGACAGTTTGAAGAAGGTGGTTGATGTTGGTGGGTTTCGCTTTACTCTTCCCTGACTTATATACTTCAGTGTTGTGTAAAGTCAGTGTTGGTATCATCTTATAATTCTCAGATGATCCTATCTAGTAGTCCAGTAGAATCCCAAACAAATCCTATGTAACCCCCATTTTTTTACAATCGAAACCATGCCTCGTTCTTGTGGTGATGGAGGTTTGTATTTGTTTCCTTTTGTCGTCTCTCTTTCTTTCTTTCTTTCTTGCTTTGAATTTAAATTTTTTTTTGCCATTTTTTATTTGTTTGTTGTTTTGTTCTCTGAAATCATTTGCTCAAAATGACGATTTTTTTTTTTTTAAATTTCAATTCTTTGATCTACTTGCAAAAGGTACATGGCATCTGTTTAAGACTTTCATCATATTGGAAACAAAAAATTAAAGCAATAAAATTGTGCGAAATATATATAGTACTTTTGGTCATATGACTTTTCATATGGTATTGTTTTTGTGATATTGGTAGTAGCAATGCCATCATCATTATGTATTCATTTCAAGAAAACAAAAATTGTTAGTTACTTTTTTATTCTTGATTTGTCACTAATTTTACTTTCATAATTGACGTTTCTCTATGTCTGTGTGTGTGGATATATTCTAATAAAGGTTCTTTGTTTAACTTATAAGTTTTTCACAACCTCAATCAACCAATGTTGCAAGTCAATGTTTTTATACTTTAGTTTAATACGTGCTATGGGTTAAATGTTTTTGATATTGTCTTTTCGTGATTTTTTGCTCAAATTTGTTCTCTTTCACAGGAACATCTTCAGCTTCTTTTGGTTCAAACAGTTGAGTGTGAAGCATTTTTCTCTTAATAAATGAAGTTGCTCGATTGCTCCTAGGCACTTTCCCGCTTTTCATTTCTATTTTTTCTTTCTTTTTAAATGTATTGATATCATATATGCGATAGACCCTTCAGAAAGTGGCATTTAAATGTTGCCACATAACAAAGGAAGTAGCGACCGGTTTTCAGCAACTTCTCTATCTTTCTTCCTTCACATTTATGTTCGTGATATCTTGTTTATGTCTTTTCAAGGTCCACCTGGCACAGGGAAAACTACGACTTCTGCAACAATTGTATACCATATGGCCAAACAAGGCCAGGGCCAGGTAAATTCATTAGCATGTATTTCAATTACTAAGATCTTGTATTTGATTACATGCCTTTTGATGATTTGTTGCTATCAGGTTTTGGTTTGTGCTCCAAGTAATGTGGCTGTTGACCAGCTAGCTGAAAAGATCAGCGCAATAGGATTGAAGGTATGCATTGTTTGGTTGATCTTAAAACCATATCTACAGCAATACTAGCTTTGGTTGTTTTATTTTATTATGGTACTTAAATTGTTTGATGCATTTATCTAGTTTGTGTCAGGCATGTATGAATAATTTGTTTGGCCACTTGCTGAAGTCAATGCTGCAAATGTGCAGAGCTGAGCCAAGTACCTGGCTATTTGGGCTCTGCTTGGCTTGGAGAAAAAGAGATTCTAAATTTTTTAGAATTTTTCCAAAATTCTTGTCAAACAGGGTAAAAAATTGACTGTTATACTCAACCATTTCCGTCCAGCCAGATATTAGATCTTCAAAGTTAATATAAATTTTAGTGTTAATAGCATCAATGGTTGATAATGAAATTGGATTTTTATCTATCAGTTGTTAAACCGTAATTGATGTAGTACTTACAGATATTGTAATACTTCATTCAATAGATTAACCTCGGTATCTCACCAATAAGCTGGTTACAAGCAAGGTCCCTACAGAATAATTTTACACAAAGACAAGGCATACAATATATATTAGCACAAAGTGTCTATGGCTTTGGTGTAAATAAAATCAAAAAGCATATGGTAATGTTAACTGCATGGACTCCACTAAAAAATAAAAAATAAAAAAAATTATGACTCACAGAGTTTTGAGTTGGGAATCTGTGTTAATGTTGAAGGGATAGGACAGTCAATTGATGTTCTTCAAATTCCTGCATTTACAGAGCTTATTCAAGCCCTTGGTTGGCAGAACTTAAAAACTTATCTATCTAAACAATCCAGCATATTTAATTAATAGTACTTCACTTCAGGTAATAACTTACAATAACTCAGCTGCTTAAGCTTGGATATTGAGAATGGTATATTCTTCATACATGTAAATTATCAGATAAATCCCTGCATTATGGAAACCCAACCATTAAAATAAAAACTAAAATCTTAATAAAGACTTGTTTTTACCTGCTTCACGCCAAGACCAAGGGAATAAGACCACTCGGGCTCAGTTGCTTGAGTAGATTCATCAATAAGGACCTATAAACAGATTGAAAGCAATCATGTAAACCAGAGCAGAAAGATTGGCAATCCCTTTTGACAGTAAAATGCTCACAAACCAAGATTGGAAGGATGACTTGGCATGTTTTTCGAAAAGTTAGAAAAACCACTAAACTGAAAAGTAATCCTGCAAACTCGAATTTTAAAGAAACCTGATAGTGAGAAAAGAGACAAGTTAGAGAGAAAAATGTTCTATGGGCTGGTGGCATTTTAAAGAAGGAAATCTGTTAAATGGGAATAAAAATATTTGACCAATTAACAAGTAAACAAACCTGTATAGTGATCAGTTAAATGCTCCGCGGAGAACTTACAGCTCCCTTGATTTTGCACAGAGCCTAACAACCTGGTTTAATTAAAAAAAATTAAAAATCTCACATCAATGAAAAACAAAAAATCAAATATCTCAAACGAAAAATCAACATTTGTCCTCATGTTAAAAAAATACATGAATAGACTAATGTTGATTGGGAAGATGATTGTCTGAACAATGACCAAAAGTTTATACCACACAAATAAAGCCAAAAGATCAATGCTCAAGTAAAATACTTGTAGAAGGAAAGCATTAAAAACCCTTGGATACAACCCTCTCTTTTTCAGGGGGTGAAGCAAAAGGCAATAAAAAAAAATTTAACAAGGAAACTCTCAACCAAACACACTGAGGAACAGCAAGTTGTTGTCAACAAAAGAAATGCCATCAAATCAATATTTTGGGTGGTCTTTCTTATTCTTTCCCTAT